CCAAATCTGAAGAAACTGCCCAAGTTGAACATCTGACAGCTGTTGGGCCCTGTTCATTTGGTGTTTTCCTATAATTGGATACCGTTTGCTCTGGCCAGCTGCATTTCCCTCGCCGCATCAGGTTGCGAGCGGAGAGTCATGTAATAAAATGATTGCAGGCTGCGGGGGGAAGCATTGACGACTCGTTTTTTCTCAGAAATCAAATGTCAAACACACATTGCTGGATGTTGGTAAACCAGGGCAAGACACAGCCTAACCTTGACAGACCTCTACCACTGATACAGCCTGCTGCCCCTCTACCCCCGCATTTAACTAGAGTCAGTTGGTCGTTCGTTTTATGTTACCTGCCGTTTTAGCCTTTGCTGCCATCTTTCGGTTACGCTTCTTTTGCTTCTTATTGCCTTGGGCTCCGGCTAAACTGAAATCTTTAAGGATTTGTTGGCGCTGAGCTTCAATGCTTGCCGTCGTTGTGGGTCCATGCACAGCTGACCTGGCTGACACTGGCTGCGACTCCTTGTCTTGGCCGGCAACTTAACTTCCGGACCCAAATTCAATTTTCCTCGCATTTTATTTTCATTTCAATTCAATTTTCCTGGCGTTTAGGCACGACAAACAATAATTAGATGCGCCGTCGACTGATCTCCGCGTACATTTACAATATGCTTCACATCTTTAGAATGCAGCCCACCCACCACTTTGGTTAGTTTGTGGTCTGCCGATTCGTTTAGCTCGCTTCGATTTGGCCAAAGTGCAGAGTCAGTAAAATTAAATTGGATTTTCATTGTGACGAACTGGACAAGGCCGTTGGCCACCAACAGCGTCGCCCTTGCGGTCATCCGAAACAGTCAAGTGTTTGTGCCTCAATAGCCGTAAACTTTTACTACTTTATGGCTTAAAGTTGAAGCTGCAATGTTGCCCGCTTTAGACTGTCGCGCGGGATAATGTTTTTTTAAACGATGCCGCCGCTGGCAGCTGGCGCACAATGGGATCATAATTGAAAGTTTGCAGTGGGAAAACGCAAAGCTTGCGAATTCGATGAATCGATTTATTATAGAAATGTATTAAATGTTATCACGACTTAACATTAAAATGTTTATATCTTTAAACAATTTTCCATTGCATCCCGCTTAAAAGTCGCGAAATATATTTCCTAGTTATTGATTGATCTTAAAGCAATGCAGTCCATTTATAAACGTCACTAAACAATTTTTGTGTTAGCATTCAAGCTGTCATTCGATATTATTTGAGGACCATCAATTTCTTTCGATAATCGCGTCATTGTGCGATAGGCAGCTCCTTGTGGAATTGAGAATTGAGCAATTGCATGGAAACGCAATTATTCTGTGTATTGACTGTGCTCCAACAATAATTATTATTGATCGCATTTCAATTTGTTGTGCATTTTTTATGCCTCGCTTACAATAAAATCCATTTGCCAACCCGGCAACGCCAGCGACGACATCAGCGACATCAACGACATCAGCGACGCTTTGCGCGTACATTGTTGATGATTTTACAAATGCGCTTAATGACACTGCCTTGCCATTTGGCAGTCAGCCCAGCAGACAGGCAGATAGGCAGTCCAGGAGCCAGGGAGCCTCTCAGGCAGCCCGACAAATATTTGCTTAAACGCTCAGCGTTGTGGCTTGTGATTGAAGCTTAATGCATATGAAATGGTAATTACGCATATGCCGCATTGTGCAGCGGAAGCAAGCCCTACAACTTATTGTCGCTCATTTATCTTATTAATAGCCCAGTGGATGGGGGCGGCACACAATTTATCAAGCAGCTGGATAGAAAAGAAGCAGCTCATCGCCAGTTCAATTCAAGATGTCGCTGCGTTTGTCATTTCTATAATAAACTTTGGGCCATTGACTATAGGGCTGCCCTTCGAAGAATGAACAATAAAAAGCGGGCAACAGTTTGACAGTTCTTGGAGTTCGCTCATAGTCTAGACGCCGTAATTGTGGCCAACATATCGTGTGTTCACTTCTGCTTATCAAGCTCCCTCCCCTTTAGCCACAGCTAATAGCATTTATAGCACTAACTCAGCTTAACTCCAATAAATCAACGAGTCGAGCCGCAATGCTTTAGTTTCAACCTGCCTTTTAAATCACAAGGTGTCACGGCGTAGCCCGACTCCCGCAATGGCCGCCATTTTTGATGAGGGTCGCAGCAAAGTATGCAACAATTCGAGTAGTTGCCACTAAACCTGCCGCACAATGGGGTCAGCATGAACATGTTAGCGTCCTTTGCTTAATATGTATTTATTTATTTATTTCGACTGTCTTACAGCTGTCCGCTTGTCACGGCCAACAGTCGCAACTTGATTTATCAACATTTACATAACTAGCATTTTTTAGTTTATTTTTTAAGCTCTTGGTTGTTGCACGTTGCCCAATTAGACGCAGCAATAAATTGCTCAGCAATGTGAGGCAAGCCGGAAATAAAGACCGGCTTGTGTTTCTGCTTCTCGCTCTGGCTCTGGCTCTGGCACTGGCCCTGCCTCTGCAGTGCCGTTAATTAAAAAGTTTTCATACAACTTAATTGAAATAGATCTCGATTGGAGTTTTTATTGATATTTTGCTTGCGCTGACGTTCGCCGTTTGCCATTCGCCGTTTGCCGTTGCGTTTGCCGCTTGCCGTTTTGCCATTGCTCGAAATGAAACTAAATAATTAGTTTGCTGGCCTCTTTTGGGTAAACTTTCTGGCATTTCAAGTGGCGAAGTTGCTTACCAGACTGTTTGCCAACAGCTCAAGTGGCAGCAACAGCAACAGCAGCAGCACTCAAAATTGCCAGCAGTCGAAATGCCAAAACTTAACACATTATGAGAATTTTGGCTCTTTAGCCGAATGCATTTGACATTTCGGTATATGGTATTTTATTTCAGCAGCCCAGCTGTTACATAAATTTAAAACCAGCTCTTCAAGGAGCGCATGCTTGTATAAACAATGTATTAAGAGCCCATCGCCTTGGGCATGTATGGCGCATAAATAATACAGGAAAACTTTTTGTCAAAGCGTGCCCCAAGTGACACTCGAGGCGCACCCTTTCTGATAAGGCCAACTTCATCCAACAGCCGGACCAGGCCAATAACAAAATCAATATTAATTTGGTGCAGCCCCCAGCATCGCCATTGCCATTTCCTTTAAATGGGAATTGAACGCAAGAACTGAACGCGACCGGCAGATACTCTAAGAAATATATATTATTAAATTGATTTAGAATCCAAATTGTTGGCCCAACTAGGAGGAAATCAGTTTAAAAATGCCTGGCTAGCTGTACAGACGGACTGTTCACGACTTTTCTTGCAATGCTCTTACTTTGCCCCGTCTAGGGCTATAAGCCCTATCAAGGAGTTTGCCATGTGACGGCCATCAAAGCAAAATGTTGTTCTCCAAGTTTTTTGCAGCAAGTTTTGAACGTGGCGCAGCTGCGACATGGCGGCTCCTGCGGTGCTTGTTATTGTTGTTATTTACTATTAAAGTTTGCCGCGCCGTAGCAAGTATCGTAAACAGCTTGGGGCCAGTTGAATGGGATTTTTCTTTCAATTTGCATGCTGCAGTCGGGGATTGCGACATCGATTGGCTTTGCCAAGTTTATGGGCAACCGCAACTATTTCCATTTTCATTTTCATTTTCATTGCCCGTTTGGCAGTCTAAATAAGCCTTATTTGCAATTAAATTTATTCAATTGCCACGCAAATGCTTAATTGAAGCGCCAATTTGTTTCACACACACACACACACACATAGACACAAATACATAGCGCGTTTTTCGCATGTTTAATTTAAGTAATCAACATTAAGCCATGTTTAGGCAAGCGACAGCCACCAAAACCGCATTCCCATTGTATTTGTGGGTCAACCGATGACACACACACAGGCACACACACACACGGGCTCTCACACACGGACACTGGAAGCGCGGCAGCTGCTGCTGTCACATTTACATAATTTCATTTGCAACAGATGCGGAGGCCAATTGCCAACAGTCGACACATTCCCATTTCATTCGCAACTCCCCCACAAAGCCAGAGCTGATACAAATTACAAATTACGAGGAATTCACGTTTTTATAAACAAAATTATATTCAACTGTTGATTTGCCGCGTCAGCTTTGTACGTAATGCGAGTGCTCACCCAGCATATATTTGTATAAATATTCATCAGTTAATATCTATGGGTATATAAATAGTTGGGCTCTATAGAGAGGGGAGGAGGGTTGCGCACTGAATGACAGCCGGAAGCTCTTTCATTAATTAAGTTCGAATTCTTTTTTTTTTGCATGCTGCGTTGACTCGCATGTTGCACGCAGCGCTCAGTGGCGCCGAGCGTAAGAGGGGCTTAAATGAGGCTTTACGGCACAACATGACTGTCTCTCTACGCCTTTGCCGCTCCTAGAGCAGAAGGAGCAAGACGATGACACAGCCACAATACCGCTCAATCTTGTTGAGTAAGCGCCACTAATTTGTTTTTTGTAAGGCCGACGGCCGCTGTCCGCCCGCCTTGCTGTCCTCTTCCTTTTGGAGGGTGGGGCTGGTGCGTTAGTGGCATGCATAATTTATTGACCTCAAATTTGCATCGAATTGTGTTTGCACGTGTACGAGGCTGAAAGCCTTCGGTTTTCCCAGCACTATCGCCCCAGCTTTATTGAGAAGCAGCAGCAAATATCCTTTTAATAAGCATGCGAGCTTCTAGGACGAGCAGGCCAAAACTCCATTGATGCCAGCCATCGATGCAGGAACAAACCTCAAGGGTCGTCTTTCTATACTGAAGGCTCGCCATGCAATTTGGCCATTAAAAATCATTAGCAAAGGTATTTTGTGTCCGCCTGGCTGCTTGCCCGGCTGCCAGGCTGCCAGGCTGCCCGGCTGCCATAGGCACGTGGTCGATGAAGTAACATTTTTGGCAGGCGAGTGTTGGCCCAGCTGCATGCTTCACACTGCATGCTGCATACTTTATGGCGCCAGCCAAGCATTTTTATTAAACGAACAGGCAGCAGGCGATGACATTGTGGCAGCTTCAGCTGAGACCAGCATTGTGTAGCAAAGAGAACACACACACGAACATACGGAGCATAGAAGCAATTCCTTAGCGACATGGACCATCGCGCAGTCGGCTTGCCTGGCAATCCCAGCACAACCATGAGCACATTCGAGACCTTCTCTGAGGAACAGTCCGAACTGAACCTGGACGAGATCTATGACCAACTGGAGCAGATGAAGCAGCGCGCATTGCAGCTTCGCAAAATCCTGGTACGCGACCAGCCAGCAGCGGCCGAGTATGCCAAATGCCTTAGAGATATCGAGTTACATGGCTCCCAAAATGTCGATTTGCATCAGGTGCAGCTGCAAACAGCTAAAATAGTTGGCCAGGTGGTAAATCTATCGCAACGACTGAACAACGAGGGTAAACATCTTAAGGACCTGGACTGCGACTTACAACATCACAAAAAACAGTCGCAAACGCTGAAAACAAAAATCGAAGAGCTGCACAAATGGCCCAGCCAACAGCAGCATCGAGCGGGGCTGTGCCTGGAGCGTTACAACGATCTCAGCATAAGGTGCTGTTCAGTGGAAGATTATTGTCTCTTTATGGAGGATCACTATAAAAACTTCGTTAATAGTATCAAGGTCGTAGCGCCCCTCAAATACTATACGGCAGATCGGTTGCAGGTTGCCAAGCGATTGGAGAAGGCCCGCAAAACGTTGTCTAAATCCTCACAGCTGCTGTTGCGACACAGCACCGAATTGGGACAAATTTTGCATAGTTATTTTGAAAAAGGTGGCATTAAGCGTTTACCCAGAACATCATGCTACTCGCAACTCGGCAGTATGCTGCTCGAATATCATAATGCCGATGATGCGGATGTAGAGTAACAAAATTCTTTAAATTAAACTGTTGTATTTCTCTTGTTGACATCTCTTAAGGAAAGCCAAAAATATATGCACTATATATATAAATATATATTAATTATAATGACCAAGCAAAAAAAGAACAAAGTATTTGTTTGCAAATTCGCAGCGCAGCACAACTCTTAACTCTGAACGATATTATGCCGAAAACTTTGCATGTAAATCGAATTACGCAGCCCAACAAACAGAAAACTGCAACTGTGGATAATTATAAATTCAGCGGACCACAGAACCGCAAAATTTTGTAATTCGAAGTGCAGTCCGCACCGCATCCGGCCGCTGTTGCATAGTTTGCTCTAATTCTTGATTTTGTTGGAATTGCATACAGAATGTAGCATTAAAATATACAATAGCCATGCTAATTGTATAAAAATGATAAAGTGTTTTGCAAATATATTGTTAACAAATTGTGTGGCAATTTGGGCCACAAAAATGCAATTAGCTGTACACGCAATTAACTGAAATATGAGTATGGCAAATGAAATTTGAGTGGTCAGCGGCCACTAGAAATCAATTCAGGAACATTTGCTGCACTCCACACGCCAAACACATCAAATGCAGATAGGCGAAAATAATATTACGAATATTACGCATACGCCAGGTGAGGTCAACATTAAATTTGAAAGTCTCAATGTTAGAACAATGTCAAAACTTAGGCCAGCAAATTGATAGCTATAATGTCTATGACAGCACTGAGCGTCATATCATTTTGATGAGGGTTCAATATTTGCCATGGTGTTGCTAGCACACTTGTTGCACCTTCACACACACACACAAGTACACACAGACATAAACCAACACGAAATGAACTTGTGCCGTTTTGCTTTATCAAATTGCTTAAACAAAGCTTGCTCCAAAATTAATTGGATGGACTCTGCCCGGTTCCTTAGCAACGTCACCTCGCTGTCGACCGCAAGGTCCACAAGAAAATTGATGACAGCCTTTAGAAAGAGGCGAACGAAAGTTTCTAACCAAAAATGATTTGACCCGACAACAACTTCGGCAGGTGTTGGAAATTGGAATATAAAATTAATTAAATTAGTTTACATTTTTATGCACACCGCGCTGATGCCACCCACATAGCCTGTACATGTAATTTCCGACTCAGTCTGCATTGTGCGAAAGCCAACCAAAACTTTTATAGTCGATGTTGAGCAACGCTGCCAGTTGCTAGGCGCCATGTCCTTTCGAGCAGCTGCTCCTTCCATATATAATTAACGCATTCAGTGCGCACGCATTTGTTGCTGTACTCGGTATCTGAATCCCTATTCTGGCACGAGCTGCACTGACATCTTTCTCTGTCCGTGTTGGTGTTGGCTTTTGTCACCTGTGCGTGTGAATGCCTCAAATACTTGTCCTGGCTTCAATGCATTTGCCTGAATACGCAAAAGTAAAAACTACTTATTTGCCAACAAAAGGTGTGCATTTGTGGGCGTGTGTGTGTGCGTGTGTCCTGTGCAGTTATTTACTTATACACAGGCAAATATTTTCTTAGGACAATACACTGAATATTTTGCTCTATGAAAACTAAGCTGAGCAGATAGATATGAAAAGAGTGAATCGCATTGGCAATGATAAATATTACTATGTATTTTAATAATTTAAAATGCAAAATTTCTAAGCGATGTACCTGATAAATCATTCATTATTCATGCGTATTTTCAACTCATTCGCTCAATCATGTTATCTTGAAAATTCACTAACAATTCAATTTCCCATGTTTTTCGAGCCACCGGAAGTTTCCTTCCGTTGTACTCACACAACAAACGCCACACGATCTCCTACTCACGCTTATTCAATCAATCATTTATTCATTAAGTCCTGGCCAGTCGGCCGGCCGCTCACTGCAAGCACAAACTTTTGTATGCAAACAATTTGAGAATTTTAATAAAAATTCTTACGTTAAATTACGCTCAACAATCAATGTGTACCCCGCCTGCACGCCCACCCGCAAAATCCACTTGTCGTTGTCATTGTCCAACTGTTCGCTTAAGTGGTGTTAAGTATTTGAAAATCTGTGCTGTTCTATGGGCCCTCTCCTCTGCCCCTAGACTCATGCTCTGTTTTGCTGTACTTGTGCTTTGCTCTTCGGCCGCATTTTGTTTTATTGTTTTACGGCAGTTGGCCAAATACTTTGGCTTGCAAAACTTTTGCGCCTGATGGTCATTCATTTGTCTGTGATTTACGAAGGCTATTCGGCTGGGCCACCCACCCACTAGTCAACTCAGCTGGCCCTCTCCCATTTAGCGACTTGACTATCATTTAGTGATATTGATTTATTGCTCCTTTGCCGCCTCAAGTCTGCTCGTAGCTCTCGACAATTCCGTGCTTGCGCACCGCCTCCAAGTCCCTCACGCATTGTTCCATGGGCGTGACTATACAGAGCGGTTTCCGGCCCTGGTAATAGGCGCTGGCAGCCGTCGCATAGCTAACTAGGCGTGCGTCCAGGCACAGGCACTGCCAGGGATTACCCTCGACGCTGATGTGGCGCAATTGCGACAGCAGCTGTTCCTCCAATACAGGCAGATATGTCAGCCGATTGTTGTTGATTTGCAGCTCAGTCAACTTGTCAAAGGTACTTAGCAAATCAGCCTCGATTTCCATTAGCCTGTTCTCACTCAGAGTCAGCACCCGCAGCCGACGCAGTGGCGCAAACATGCGTATGTCCAGTAAAGTCAACTTGTTGCGCCGCAGTCGCAGCTACTGCAGGAAGGGCAGTGAGGAGAAGGCCAGCGGATGCAGTTGGTCAATGTTATTGTTGCTCAGATCAAGAAAGCTTAGATTTCTAAGGACGGAGCCGCCAAAGACATTGGCATCCAGTTGCCTTTTGTTATTTTTGCTCAAGTCCAGCACCTGCAATGCCGTCAAATTGGCAAAGACCTCATCGGGTAACTGGAAGATTTTGTTGCCCTGCAGCTGCACAGATTGTAAAATAGTCAAGCCCCGAAACGCACTTGAAGAGATCTTGCTGATCTGATTGAACCAGAGGTTGAGTGTTTCCAGATGATGCAGCCTGTTGAACACATAATCCTCCAGTGCCTTTACATTGTTGGAGCTGTAGTCGAGCACACGCAGCAATGGATCAACATCAGGAGCCGGACCCACGAATAAATGTCGCTGAATTTCATAGATATTATTACTGGATACGTTGAGCACACGCAGCTGAGGCAGCCCATAAAAGATGCCCATGTCCAAAACCTCTAGCCAATTACTGTGCAAATGCAGCTCTTGCAACTGAGGAAGCCCGCGCAGACAGCACCAATGAAACTACAAAGGAAATGAAAGCCTCGAGAAGCCGTCACGTGAATATTAAAAACTATTCAACCTACATCTCTCACATTGTTGTTGCTAATGGACAAATAACGCAGATTGGAATTGGAGCCTAGGGTGATGTTCTCCTGCTCGTTGGTGTTGAGGTCCAGAAACTTCAAGTAGCTAAGGGCCTTGAAGGCATCGAACTCTACGTTGGCTATCAAGTTGTTTGAGAAGTTGGCATAGACAAGATTTGGCAACTGTCTCATTAGAGCACGTTCAATGAGCAGCAAGTCATTGTGGCTGACATCCAAATTGACCAGGCTTGCATTGTCAGCAAAGTGCTCTGACCGCAGCTCTTCCAGTTGACAGTGGGTTAGGTTGAGTCGCTGCAGCGATGCGAAATTTCTGAACCCATACCTGCCCAGCGTCATACCTCCAGACTGTGACAGGTCCAATTGAAGCAGTCTCGACAGCTTGGGGAGTGGCTTATCGTCATTTTCAATTCCAGTGTGTTCGTTAACAACATTTACACTTTGCCAATCTTCTTGTATATACTGGCTTAGTTGCTCAAAGTTTTCAATCTCGCGGCACACATAGTTTGGATGTGATATCTGCTCACATTCCTGTATAACTTTTGTTTGTACTACACGGAAGACGAGTAGAGCGGAAAGTAGAACCAATCTTGACAGCATCTGAACTAAAACTGAAACCTATCAAATTAAGGCACAGTGCGTAGCTTTGTGTTTATTTATAGGCGTACAAAACTTGTTTCTGTGCATTCTGAACCTGGCGAATTGCTAGATGGTAAGCCGGTTTCCATGCGAATGGAAGCAAGTCAAGAGCATCGCATTATCAAATTAACCAGAGTTATTTATTTTTGTTATTTCAAATAAATAAATCATTAACAGAACTTAACTTAATTTGTTCAAGGGCTATGCACTTTTTACAAATTAATTTTAATTAAATGAACTTGTTATGGCTGGCAATGGAAGGTCCCACTAGAACTCTTCCTTTATCAGCTTGTATTCTCAGCTCTGGTTTAAGAGATAACTCTTGTGGGACTTTCCATTCTACCATTTATTTATATGCATTATCTCTTATTGACATGTTATTTACACCAAATAGGCAACAAGGTTAACATTAGTGACAAATGTATCAACAGATTGATCTCCACCTTACCCACATTAAATGTGTTGTCGGTAAACTTGTGATTTTTATAAGTGAAATATACTTTAATGTTTAAACGTATCAATTTACATTAACAGTTATATTTATGTTTGTGTATGTCGGTCCACGCGATTTTGTTTTGTATTATTATATATATATATATATATATTTATAGTTATTCAACAATCAAAAAATTATTTCATTCGAGTAGATAAATACATTAAAGGTATTTCTTCTAAATATTTTGCAATGTAGACATAAATATGTAGATTTATAAAAACATATATTTATATATACAACTACAATGTGTAGATTTATTGAATATATGAAGACACAAAGCTAGTTAAAGTACATTGTTGACTCTGCATAGAGATTTTGATTATTTTTCTTGATTATTCGGTGTAGACTCACAAATAAATTCATTAAGATAGCGTTTCGTCGTATATATTAATCACAAAGGCGATTACAAAAATGCTAACATTGTAGCTTAATACAAAAATAAATAAATAATAATATTCAAAATGTTACCTGAGCTCAACAAAAATGAAGCTTTTTTAAATTGCTTGTAGCAAAATGTTTTTAAAGGAGTGGATAATTTGGTTGATTTAAGAATGCGGTTGCTTTGGCCAAAGGGGACTAGTAAGCGATAGTTCACAGGGCTTCGATATTAAAATTAACTTCAAGTTGGACAGTTTTCTTGTCATAAAAGTCCAAGCAAAATTTATAGAAACTAAAACAAATGCTAGATCATTCCTGGACGATCGGTCTCCCGGTTTCCGGACTTCTCGAAGAACATGGCATCCTAAAGAAACAAAATCCGATGGTTAACAAAAGTGAAATGACTCGACGTGTGGTGATGCATTAGCACAATCAAAGAAAGCTGAGGCATTGTTAGGGCTCATAGGATAACTTTTACCTCGGCACCAACGAAATCTGCGATGCAGACAACTCATATGTTTTAAACGAAAGAAATGAATGCTGTACGACTTAACATGCATGTGTGCGGTTAGTGAAACTTGCGATGAAATAACAAATGCAGCTGCTTACAATGAGAAACGTGGCGCCCAACAGCACGGCTTTCATGCGAACATCCAAGTCTAGTGGAAATGTTATCCCAAAGAAATCTGCATCCGTGAAGATTTCACGTGCCATGCCTGACCACTGCTTGGAAATCTTTCCCACCTTCTCTCCGGTTAGAGAGACCACCTGCAAAGGAAATAGAATAATTAATAAAGCGTTAGTTGTAATAGACTTTCAGCACTTACATTGAACTCTACGTCGCCGCAAAGCGAGAACGTGCAGAAGGGACCCTCAATGCGCAGCACGGTGTCGCCAATGTGATTCAATATGCGAAACGATGGGCTGCAAATGGACCACTCCTGTTCGATAGTGCCAATAATATTGCCAGGTGGAGCGGACACTTCCATGGTCTGTAGGCAGCAGGGAAAGCAGCAAGCTGAGCAGGCCAATGGACGATTCAAGTGAATGACCTCTTGCTGGAAATTGTCGAAAATTTTCATGTCGAAGGGCCGTGCCGGACCACACATGTTGCGTGTGCAGCAGTCTGTGTCCTCCACCGCATAATAGACCTTCTGGCCGAGAGCATTTTTGATTGAGAACTTATTGTTGGTCTCGAAGCCAGTGAAAGCTTCGAGCAGCTCCACTTTTTGCTTAACTAAAAGCTGGTCTATACTCGTAAGGTATTCCAATCCGCGCGGACAGTTCGGAATGCCTATAGGTATACTCATCCAGTCGCCTATTGAAAAATAACACAAAACACTTCATCAATCCAAATACACTTAAGTGGAACATTCTTGCAGAATCACATCAACATGTGCGAGATGTAAGCACCGACCGCCCACAGAAGCGTGTCAATTGGTCAATGTCGTAGTCATTGTGCCAATTGGTCAACGTCACAAATAGTATGCCTAATTGAAGGCATTACAATGGACAAGCCACGAACCCGGGCCGCAGCGGTTTATTGTGCCTTTTACGCCACTCAAATCCGCCTTTTATCTAATCTTATTGTGGCCTTTGAGAAGATAATGTTTACGACAGTCCCAATATATCTCTGGTCTATGCAAATTTATAATTTCATCACAATGACTTATATAAAGTTGACTATCTTTGGCGCGTCTATTAAGGCACTTTTGTTATCCCCTTGAAAAGATATGTTGATACGATCTGATATAACCTTGGAGTCTTAATTGCACACGAGTCAAACTGTCTATTACATTGATTTGTCTCACCTCCTGTCTTCATCGCTTATATAGAACTCGTAGCCCTTTCGCTTTGCCGACTTATTCAGCCGCATTGTGTGCCGAAACTTTTTGGGCAAGGGCTTGTTGGCCTCGCGGCAGACCAACTGCTTCAGCGTCTGGGATCTCGTGCAGAAATAGTTGTACTTGCTGTACAGTGAGTGCCAAATTAAGCGTAACACCTTCGAGCCACTGCTGGCGCCATTAGGCGTCGATTCCTTTTGATCGGCCGACTCGTTTTTAGTCAGATCCAATGTCGAGATGTAACTAGAGCTGGATGCTGGAACTGGTACCGTTACTGCGGTTGGAACTGACATCGCGCACTAATCAAGATTCCGGTTGTCGCGACTGCTCTTGATGCTGCACCGAAGTGAACTGAAGCGTCTGCCTGGGAGAGGGCACACAAGTTGACAGTTGCCAGCGCATCGTGCCGCAAAAGTCATCATAGTAAACATAACCGAACGTGTTTTAAATAGCGCTTTGTATTATTTTATTGGTTCAATTAAAGCAAACGCGCCGCGTCCTGATAAGAGCCAGCGGGTTGGCTTTGGGATGCATACAGCTACGAATAAGCGGCAGGGTCTTTAGCATGTGGAAGAGCAAAAGCGTTTGGTTTGTCAACAACAACATCTTGCTGTTGATACCAACGTCAGTGTCACCGCTCATCTGGGTTAGGGACAGACAACTCGAAATCTCGCTCACACCAAGAATGTAAATATTTACAGCTTGGTTTTGGGTGCTAATAGATAACTACTTTGTAGTCTACCGCTTGAGCCCCCCTTCCAAAGCTCTCTTTAACAAACTCGACACGAAGTTGCATTCCCTGCAACCCGAGAAGTTCAATGGCAGCGAATATCTGTTCTGGCAGTGGACTTGCTATTATCACAGTTAGAGTGCATTGACCCCAATTGTCAATGTGTGAGATCGGTTATTGAATGATCTCTTTTGTCTCAATTATTTCAGAGAATTCTGATTGCGATCTTGCGCTTGTTTTTAATGTTGACATGGCGCCCCCAAATATATACGTGTACATACATGTGTTTATCGAATTGGTTTTTAGAAGTTGCAGCATTAAAGCCCATGCCTTTGATCGATTGCATATATTAAGAAAGCAATAGTAAAACTTACCTGCTGGCCCCACGCCGGCATGCGGATGAGCAGGTGGCATGCCTGGCTGACTTATAATCGGTTGCTGAGGTCCTGGTGCATATCCAAATGGTTGAGGTGGACCAGTTGGGCCGGGTGGGTAACCATATGGCTGTGCAACGCCACCATTACCTCCACCCCCGGCACCAAAAGGTGCTGCTCCTCCATAGACTTCTCCGTAGGGCATTTGCGGTACTGGCGCGTATCCCCCTTGAGGTGGATGCGGAGTGAAGCCCTAAAATAAAGAAAACTATCAAATAGGGGCGTTTCTTTGGCCTGTCCAATAGTGCGACTTTTTATAGCACTCGCTCAATACATCATATCGGCCCTGAATAATACGTATTGCTTTAAAATGTTTGCAAATAAAATAATTAGGGTTTTAGAACCAAGTCATCGGAATAAAAACCAAGACAAACGATTATTTTCAGCACGCCGAAGAATAAACGTCCCCTAAACATGCGGCTTTAAAGTCCTTTTATACAAAAGCATTATTCCCGTTCGATGATTTCTACGGGAGCAATATTATAGTTTTGCAGATGAATGCAGATTGGTGCAGATCTATATTGCTGAGAGTGGACAAAATATCTTAAAAAGCAGATACGTTTTCTATACAAAAACTCGTCCGACTCTTCCTATGTAGCATAGTGATACCAATAAATGTTTGGTCAAGATGTCTTGAAAAACATAAAAGTTTTTCATACAAAAACTAGAAATTCGACTCATCGTTCCTATGGCAGCTATATAACATAGTAATCCGATAATGATAAGATTTTGCATGTATGTAAGGAGCATAGTAAAACAAATAAATACAGATTTTGGGCAAGATATCTCGAAAAAAACAAAAATATAGTGATCCGATCTGGCCGGTTTCGAATTATATACTGCGCTTCTAACATAAAGACGGACCTATGCGAAGTAGCAAGATGGAAGCTTTAAGACTGAGAGACTGGCTCGCATAGAAACATACAGGCGCTCAGGATAACACAGCCATATCGACTCGGCTGTTGATGCTGATATTGTACATATATATATACTTTATGGCTTGTACATTTCATGACCTTACACATTTCATGGCAAAATTATAATACCCTCTAAAAGGGTATACATCGAAAAAGTTGCTCATACACAAACTTAACCGATCAATCCTT